AATTTGAAGAACTATATATCATCAATTTAACCGTCATAAATATCTTTTTCTAAAAGGATTAAATAAACTCGAACAAACCAATCTTAGATTTGAAAATTAAATAAAATAATACTGCAATATCATACTTCTTCTTTCTTTTTTTTCTCACCAATATACCACACAGGCCTGCCTGAAAAGTACCTACAAAAGGTGAATATGAATCCATTATTGAATGAATTTAGGAATGCGAATATGACTATCATATGTATTTATTTCTCATTCTATTGACTCTATTTCTCCTTAATTATAATAGAAAAACTTTTCTAAGCATACCTTTGGCAGTTCGTCAGCAGTCACGTTAATAACCTATTCACCGACATCATGCGTGTATACATAATTAAAAAAAACGACTTAAAGACTTCCCTGCAGTTTACAAGGCATCCAACGCTTACATTACGTCCATATAGATGGCAAAGAACCTTAAAGTGTAATAGTTGATGGGGTTCTGCCGTTCATTTCCGATTAACTGAAATACATTACGTTGTACAACATTCACGTCCGACCTGTGGGGAAAGTTGAGTAATAGCCATTATCGGCTTGAACAAACTATACTCCCGAATCCTGATGATGTGGTCACAGTGTTTGATGCATCTCATTCAGGTACTAACTTTAGCTTACATTCACACTCTAAACATGTATTCATGTTTCGAAACTATCATGCTCCAAGAATGTTTTCATTTATTTCATTAACATGTACTTCCAGGAGAAGGGGTTGTTTTAGCCGGTGATTTTAACACGGTCTTAAATTGTAAAGAGGATTAAAATGGAGGAATAATCAAAGATGGTAATGATGCTTTTTATTTGCGTAACCAAATCTCTTTAAAAAACTTAATTGATATATATGGAGAGTGAGAAACCCTGAAGCAAGGGAATTTACACATGAACAATCTTATCCAGGGTTTGTACAGTCTCGAAATGACTTCGTACTGTTATCCCAATGCTTGAATGATTTTGCTAAAGATATAGTCATTCTAGGTCGCTTTATGTCAATCCATAATGCGGTGTATTGAAAATTCGAGTTTAAGGCCGCAAAAAGGGCAAAGGCATTTGGAAACTGAATAACTCACTTTTGCAAGATGATGGTTATCAGAAAATGTAATATCTCTTATTAATGACATAGAAGCAAAATTACAATTAAAAAAAGAGAACATATCAGTTTTGGGGGACATTTTCAAACACAAAATAAGACACATGGCAATTAATTATTGTATCAATAAGGCAAGGGTAAGAAGAGGCTTACAGTTTTTCTTACAAGACAGGTTAAATCATTTATCAAGTATTGGAATATTAAATGAAGATCAAGATAACGAATTGTCTCATGTTAGAAGACAATTGTCAAAATATTATGAATATGAAATACACGGTGCACAAATACGGTCCAAAATCAAATGGTATGAAGAAGGTGAGCGAAATAATACATATTTTTTTTGGCTTAGAAAAAAGAAACTTTAAGTAAAAGAATATGTTTAAAGTAAATGTTAATGGAATAATATACAGAAATATGAAAGATTGTAGCTGAAGATGAATATTTTTCTCGTTTGTATTCGGCGACAGGAAAAGAAAATGAAGTGAATGATTATCTTAAAAACATTAAGGTTAATAATGTATTAAATGAGAAACAAAAGAGATACTGTGATTCAGAAATAACACTTACAGAATGTAATGACGCCCTTACTGGGACTTAACAAAGGAAACAGTCCAGGTTCAGATGGTTTGACTTATGAGTTTTACCAATGTTTTTGGAATAATTTGAAACATATTCTGTTAAAGTTATTAAAAACGTCATTGTTAGTAGGAAAGTTACCGATTTCACAAACTAGAGCTGTCATACCCCTTTTACATAAGAAATGCGATCAAGAAAATCTTTCAAATTCGAGGCCGATTAGTCTCCTAAATACTGATTATAAAATATTAGCATCTGTTTTAGCAGGAAGGTTGAAAAAGGTGTTAAATGTTTGTATTGATTCAGATCAAAATGCATATCTTAAAGGACGTTTTATTGGGAATAATATTCGTTTGATCGATGATGTAATATGTTATTTTGAAGAAAAAAAGAGTTCCGGAGCTGTTATCTTTTTGGATCTCGAAAAGGCTTTCGATCAAATAAGTTGAGATTTTCTTTATAAACGTTTAGACAAATTTAATGTTGGTAGTATATTGGATATATAAAAACTCTTTAGACAAATGTTCAAAGTTGTATTGCAAATAATAATTGGCAATCATCTTTTTTTCTCTGCAAAGAGGTTTTCGGCAAGGTTGCCCGGTGTCTGCTCTATTGTTTTTAGTTGTCATCAAAATATTAGCAATTGATATTAAATCAGATGAAGCTTTCACGATGTTCAATTACCGGAATCAGGAGGTATGCCTGGCACTCAAGTGAAAATTAGCTTATTAGCAGATGATACAATAATTTTCGTTGCAATTGAAATTTCTTCAAAAAATGCTATGCGTAAAATAAAAACCTTTTGGTTGTGTAGCAAGACTTACTTTAAATGTATCAAAATCAAAAGGTTTTCATTTTGGTGAATTTAATGTACAACAATATAAAGAAATCACATGGTCTAATCAGTTTGTAAAAACACTCGAAGTTTATTTGAGTAAGAACATGAAACTAGCTCATGAAAAAACATGGACGGAAAAGGTAGAACATATTGAAAACCAAATTAAACAGTGAAAATGTAGAAAATTGACATACTTTTGTAAAATAACTGTATTGAAATCACTTGTATTGTCAAATAGTACTTATATTATGTCAGTTTTTCCAAATATTGATTTTATAAATAAACAAATTGAAAAACCCATTTACAATTTTGTATGGGATGGTTTAGATAGAGTATATAAAGAGAAAAACTATAATCAGGTCAACTGATAAAGGAGGTTTGAATATGCCAGATTTTGTTTTGCAAAGTTTTGCTTTAGAAGTAAATTGGCTCTTTAAGTAAATGGATGATAAAGATCATAATTATCTTGGTCCTAACTTTTTAGTGCTCAAGATGAGTTTCTTAAAAAATGAAGATTTAACAGTTCTAAGTAAAATACCTTTATTTTACCAACAATGTATTTCGGCATCGAAAAAATATCAATGTGTAAATAAATCATGTAATGAGGTCACTGATATTAGAATGCAGCTGTAATGGGGAAACACATATATAAAAGGGAAAACAATTGTGTTTATGGTGGGAACACTGGCTAAAATCTGGAAAAATAATTATTGGAAACATCATATACGCCAAAGGGGATATGGATGTAAATCGGGGCAAAAGAATTACTTGGTATTAAAAATAATCATTTATGTGAGATTAAATTACTTTGGAAGTGCAAACCTCGTGACTGGAAGAGAAAATTAAAATGTGAAACTGTTTTTTGTTCAATTAAAAATACACGTCTTCATTATTTTGAATTGACACCAAAAATATGTCATAATACAGTGCGTCCCAGAAAAAACGAAACAGAGAATTATCGATGCTTTATCATAACTTAATCACAATTACATTTAATAATTGACACATATTTTAAAAGCTTAGATCCTCCTCTTTCATTTGATGCAACTCATATGATGCATATTTTCCGCATGAGTGATTAAAAGCAATTTGAAGAGAGGAAACCAATAAGTCATTTGGCGGGAGCTATTTGAATTTCAAAGAGAAAATCATATTTCTAGAAAGTGCAATTTCTGCCCTTTCATATGACACCTAAACCAGGAAAAATGAGCCAGGACTGACAAAGTTATATTTGTTTAAAGTAATGCTTGCATTTCCAAAATTTGATCAAACGAATTCATTTTCACTGGCTGGCTGCCGTAGCAACAAACAGAGTTTACAAAAGACTTAACCCCATTTCGTTGACGGTCAGCCATGCACAAAGAAGACGAAAGACTTGAGTTACATCAAATGAAACAGGAGGATGTAAGCTTTACAAAATATGTGTAATTTATTAATTGTTATTGCGATTAAGTTATGATAAAACATCGATGAGTCTCGGTTTGGTTTTTTTTGGGGGGGACGCACTGTATATCAGTTACAAAAATACACAAATTATATATAAGGTATTAAATTTATAGAACCTTAAAATCAAAATTTTAAAATTAATTGGAGGAAAACAAATTGGAAAACAATTATCTTGGGCAAATATATGGAAAATGAATTTGACATACGTTAAGGAAAAACGATTAAAACAGTTAAATTTCAAACTACTCCATAAGTTATTAGCACGTGAAGAATATCTATATCGTTTCAAAAGATCTGATCATGATTATTGTTTGAAGTGCAAATGCACACAAAAATTCTCAGAAAAACAAAAGTATTGTTTGATAATGTCAAAATTGAATACAGTGATATAATTGTAGGCAAGCAATGTGATTATATAAATTCAAAATATGTAGTTTTTAAAAATCTATTAATTAATTTAGCTTCTTATATTTTACATACACAACAAAGAAAATGTTATTTTACAAACATATTCGACATATATTTAAAGGAAATATTTTGGAGGGAAAATGTTGAAAAGTTTCCCCTCTGAAAAAAAAAATTGACTATATGTCAAACAAAAAAGTATAATTAATTTAGTGATAAGTATAATTCATGTGTTTTTCTTTGTAATCGATATCATTTTGTGTTTCTTATGTACGTATTATTCAATTAATAAATGATGGATAAAAAAGTATCATGTTACACACTTGTCAGGTCTTTGAAAGTATCATAATACATTTGTCATGGTAGCCCGTACATTTGTTTGAGATATCGCCATTCTTATGAATTTTGGCAAATGAACATTTCCATAGAATTTTTCAAATATATCGAATCATCTAATCTATTATTGGAATGTTATTTCATATCCGAAACACAATGGAATTACGAATTTCACTAAGAAATCTCTGTTTTGTCCGTTCTCCTACTCAATTTTTTTAAAAATGTTATTGTTGTAATCAATATTCTCATGAGATTTTTCAAGTGAAAGCTTACCGTGTGCGTAATTCTGTGCTATGTCCAAAACAACGACGAAACGCGCGAGGCCTTCAGTCTTTCCCCTCAGTGTGGACTGTGCTAACTAAATGAATCCCAGCTACAAAGGATTCACATGTATCTTGTTCAAATTTCAGTCAAAGTAACAGATAACAATTCACTTGAAAAAATTGTTCTTGAACGTGTCACGAAGAAACAAATGACGTTGAAATACTTTTATTTCGCACGTTCAGAAACAGGAGGGTTGGTGTCCATCTAATGGCGAATCCGGTATCGGCACCAGGTCGAAACAGCAGTGCTCGGAAAACACTTGCCCCAGAAATGAATCTCAATACAGATTCCGTGTGCATATATACGTTTATATCCATAATCCGAGCCCAAGATACTACGACTTAGATAAGGAAAGGCATTGGGGGGGCGTAAATCTACTTAGTACAGAAAGGTGGTAATTAAGAGCATGCGTATTATCTCTTTGCGCACCTCACAACGAAAACTCCCACATGAAATGCTTTGTAAAGTCATCGTCATAGCGATGTCATAATATATATTTCAAGACATATTTATTACTTAGTCAGTCGGAAAAACTATTTGTGATGCAAATCATAAACTTGGCCCGAGCTAGCTATCTGGAAGAGATCTGTAGATATTTGGGAGCTTAACAGCGACAGATAAAAAGAGCATTATTGAAAAAGAGCGAGAAATAGAGAGAGAGAGAGAGAGAGAGAGAGAGGGGGGCATGCGCAATAGAGAGAGAGGGCCAAAGGAAGAAAAAAGGGGAGGGGCAATGCAGGCACGTGGAAATGTAATCCAAGTTGTTGGTAATTTGCGGTCCCAACAATATGAATAAAGAATATATACAATAGGCATCGTGAATGCCGATGTTCTTTGGTCTTAACAAAACTCTCGTAGGAGATACAACTTCAAAAAGCCATCGGGCATATACTAAAAACTGTGATGAGGTCTGTAGCATATAGTCTGCAAGCACAGACTCTAATTTGACACTCTACCACAATTACTAAAGCCTTGAGCTCAGCCTAGATGTGTCAGTCTCTGGCTGTGTAAAACAGCAGCTACAGTACAGTGCCTAGTGTAGTCTCATTTTGCAGACACTGCTACGCACAACAACAAGGGTTTGTGTATGCAACATACAGGATGAGATTATTTAAATTTGTTCAGAATCATACAGGTTAACAGGCACATTTTTCGCAAGGGGGCTAACACATTTTGCCTGAATATCAATAATGTTAGAGGTTATAAACTTTGCAATCGAGCCGAATTTGTTTTTATTTGCATGTGGTAAGACTGTCATTTAAACATCTGTACAACCCAGATGATATATAACATACAGACTTATTTTACCCCTTTTTCGCAGGGGGGGGGGCATTTTCATTTTTCGTTTAAAAAAGGTAAAATTAACATTACCATCTTTTTTGTTTAACCTGTTTTTTGTCCAGGTTGCCAAGCTTAGTGTTACTTTGTCTTAACGTTATACCATCATCCTTTTTCTCTGGTGCTTTCTCCCTTTTTTGTCATTTTTTTTTAAAGGTTGGAGGGGCTACCTAAATAACATTTTTCCCATAACCAAGGACTTTTTATGCTGATCCCATAACAAATAATTGCTTGTTATGACCAGTTTAATAAACATTACTATTAAGACAAATTTGATCGTATCTGATTGGTACGCGTCTGTAAAGCCCAATTACACACCCCTACACCCATACCGTCACGTATCATTTTCCTATTGTATAAATCTGTAGACATTTTTCTCTTTTTGTTTGCGTTCGTTCGTAGGCTGGATCTCAAAGAAGAGAAACGCAACAACATTAAATCAAATTGTTTCGTTGTTACGCAGCCGGTTTTTTGATAAAAAATTAATCATAATGATTAATGATAGAGATCTATGAAGCGTGGATGAAAACCGTGTTTTTGTAAAATTCATTCTGAAGTAGAAGATTTCGGTGGAAGCTTGACTCTATGTTTCTTTAATCATAATAGCGAAACTTTGCTAAGCATACCTTTGGCAGTTGATCAGCAATCACGTTAATAACCTATTATGATGCGTGTATACATAAAAGAAAAACATATAGATTTTCCTGAGGTTTTCAAGGCATAACAGCACTTACATTGTACGGTAGATTCCGTCCATATGGATGGTAACGAACTTTAAGGGGAAATTAGTGAGCTGGGGAACACACAAAAATAAAGAGAAAACTGGGAACTGGGGAGAAAACCGAAAAAATTCGGACAAAGAATATGGAAGATGCAAAGCCATAAACATATCTATTGATATGGAGCTACTCCTATTGATGAGTCGATCACGTCGGGTGATGTCATTTTGGCACAACTTTTCGATTCTTTTGTAAGAAATCGAATTCCTTCTTTTTTCATTTCTTTTTCATTTTTTAAAAGCGGACAATTTCGTTTAAGGGGAAATTAGCGTCAAGTGAGTTGGGGAACAGACAAAAAGAAAGAGAAAACGGGGAACTGGGGGAAAAACCGAGAAAATTCGGACAAAGAATATGGAAGTTGCAAAGCCATAAACATATCTATTGATATGGAGCTACTCCTATTGATGAGTCGGTCACGGTGGTTGATGTTATTTTGGTACAACTTTTCGATTCTTTTGTAAGAAATCGAATTCCTTCTTTTAGTTTCATTTCTTTTTCATTTTTTGAAAGCAGACAGTTTCGTTTAAGGGGAAATTAGCGTCAAGTGAGTTGGGGAACAGACAAAAAGAAAGAAAAAACGGGGAACTGGGGGAAAAACCGAGAAAATTCGGACAAAGAATATAGAAGTTGCAAAGCCATAAACATATCTATTGATATGGAGCTACTCCTATTGATGAGTCGGTCACGGTGGGTGATGTTATTTTGGTACAAATTTTCGATTCTTTTGTAAGAAATCGAATTCCTTCTTTTTTCATTTCTTTTTTCATTTTTTGAAAGCGGACAATTTCGTTTAAGGGGAAATTAGGGTCAAGTGAGTTGGGGAACAGACAAAAAGAAAGAGAAAACGGGGAACTGGGGGAAAAACCGAGAAAATTCGGACAAAGAATATAGAAGTTGCAAAGCCATAAACATATCTATTGATATGGAGCTACTCCTATTGATGAGTCGGTCACGGTGGGTGATGTTATTTTGGTACAAATTTTCGATTCTTTTGTAAGAAATCGAATTCCTTCTTTTTTCATTTCTTTTTTAATTTTTTGAAAGCGGACAATTTCGTTTAAGGGGAAATTAGGGTCAAGTGAGTTGGGGAACAGACAAAAAGAAAGAGAAAACGGGGAACTGGGGGAAAAACCGAGAAAATTCGGACAAAGAATATGGAAGCTGCAAGGCCATACAAATATCTATTGATATGGAGCTACTCCTATTGATGAGTCGGTCACGTCGGGTGATGTCATTTTGGCACAACTTTTCGATTCTTTTGTAAGAAATCGAATTCCTCCTTTTTTCATTTTGTTTTGTTTTTTGAAAGCGAACAATTTCGTTCTTAATTCTAGTACGCAATAGATGTTTAAATGGAAAATGGATATATATATATATATATATATATATATACATACATATATGTATGTTCTATGACATTACTAATCAAATACTATATAGTAGGAATATCTGTGTTAACATTACCGTTTTAACTCTTTCCTTGCTATCAAATTTCCTTTTCTGTGATTTTTTTTTCTTCCACAACTTAAAATAGGGAATATTAGTATACGCCTCCCAAATGTACAGGGGTACACCATTTGTTTTCTTCTCCTATGCGACACTATCTTTTCCTTGGTTTTGTTGTCAGCCTTGAAGGCCTCATGAAATATGAAGCTGCCTAGGTCGGTATTTATATTAAAAAATGAAATTCTGACATTGTTTAATACAAAAGTTGTAAATCTGAAATCTCCCGCCCAAATGCTCCATCGTTCTGCCATCCACACATATATCTGTTGTTATGATACTCTCACATTGATCTGAAGACTGATGCTGTGCCATTATACCTTAGTACCTGGTTTTCAAATCGACGAGACCTCGTTTTTAATGAAATAACTGTTCTTTTATTGGAAATGCAAGATCATGACATGTATTTATGTTTTCCATAATTCGCAACTAATCAATGTCACGATATACTGTCAATATACTTGCAATTCAATTTCCCTCGATGATATTCTTATTTCTTACTGAATAAAAAACAACCCATTAATATATTTTGATTTATACATTTGTTCAAGTCAGCTCCCAATATCTACCTATCCCAAAATATAAAATGAATATTTAGTGACCTTATATCATACACTGTATTCTCTTTTTAATTCAAGTCAGCCCATGATAATTATGTTGCCGCCCTTGTACCCAGGTACACAGCGTCCCCTTTAAATCCATGATTATGTTCAAATCACGAGCTTCAGTAACAATATGTATTAACTTTTTTTTTCCACTAGATGTATATGCATGTACACAATGCTTCTTCAATCTAGTGTCATTCCTTTCTTTTCCGATCTGAAGGTAAACACCAATGTTTTCAAGCTATTAAATTATACTAAAAACGCATTTTATATTGAATCTCATTATTTTACGCCATATCATTCTAAGGTAATGCAAAGTTTTGGGAAATTTAGAAAATTGGATGGATAGTAATTCTTTAAAGTTTTGATAAATTTGGATGCCCCTGTGGATGTATTATAATCACCGGAAAATTAGCCCCTAAAACTTTTCTGCTTTCGAGCAAATTGAATAATCAGAATTTACCGGTGCTTCCGGTAAATTTCAAATATTTCAAATAGCGCCTAAGGCCATTCCATGGTAGCTGCGAGCCTGCGACCATGAAAATCTCAGAATATGCAGTTCTGATAACGGGAATAGCAAATTGGTCGATTGTAGTCAAGAAACACTGTTTTAAAGCTAAAGTAATGTCAGTCTTTAGAGGGAGATTTACAACATAAAGAGTTTATTATTTACAATTTCATCACTTTAGACTCGATTTTAACCGCGACAACAATCATTGAATATTGGAAAATCGCATATGCTTCCAATATGTTGATTTAAACCAAATTCATGACCCCATACCAAAACTATGTATTTCCTTTAATATACCAAGTGACACGGATAGGAAAAAGAAGGCGGTTAAATGTATTTAGTTTAAAAATCGCTTTCTTTTCCCGGCATCTAGGTAAATCCTTTCAAAAATTTACTATTGTTTTATATTCACTGCATAGTTTCATGATTTAGTTTTTGCTGAAAAAATAATTAAAGTAAAGATGATGATGATGATAATGCTGAAACAAATATTGATTAAAAAAATAATAC